CGACGTAAATGAGATAATTTACGTCGGACAGCTAAAGCAGCCGACGTAAATTATCTCATTTACGTCGAACCCATCTTCGTCCGACGTAAATAACTCCTTAAATGAAGGGCGCGCACTACAGATTTCCAATCGTGGCATTCTTCTTCATCTTCACGTTCTCCCGTGCGTTGTAGATTCTTCCTCATCCCTCCGCCTCCTCCTCAAATCGTGGTTGTCTTCCTCATCTTCACGTTTTTCTATTTTTCTTCTTCGGAGTTGCGTTGTTTCTTCTTCGCGTGTTGATGGAAATGGCTTAACCATACATCCATCTATTTTTCTATGAGGTAGTGACCACTCCTTAACCGATGTTAGTGTTTTCTGGGATGTATTTTTCGTAATAATGTTTGTGTTGCATTTCGTGTTTGTGAAGCTGCAGAAGGAAGTGACCACTGCCTGGGTCTATCAAGCAGAACGGGTCGTTCTGCTTGGAGAACGACCTGTTCTGCTTGCACTCGTTTTTTTTTTTAAAAAAAATTTTATGACTTTTTTACGTCGGACCTTGGCATGTCCGACGTAAATTTACGTCAGTTTTTGACCTCGACGTAAATTTTACGTCTCCCATATTGACATCTGATGCTTTTCCGACGTAAAAGGCTTCAAATACCCGACATAAAAGGGGTCTTTTGTACTAGTGTTAGTGAAATATAGGATCCTAACTTTACTGATCCAAAATGAATCAATTCATGTCTAACTTTAATGTACATAATGTCATATAAAAAAAAAAAGAGACAAATATTATAATAGACAAATATTAAGAATCATAATTTCTGAAAATAATTTTAGTTACTCATAAAAGTTTCTAGGAATATTCAAAATTTTCAAAAATTAAAGATTTTCATATTTGATTGCAATAAATATATAAATATTTTTTACAAAAAATATCTTTTATTAAAATAAATTTATTAAATATATTCATTTACTCAAATCTTATTGAAATATACATTAAATTATTTTAAAAAAATGAAGCATATTTCCCGTAAGCCATAGCGTATTATTGTAAGGCTCGATAAATCTTACGGTAATGAAAGATGGTACACCGTTCTTCTCTCTAGCATTCATATATCGATAAATTTATTTCAATTTTTTTTAATGTTTTTTAAATAATTATAGAAAAGTTTATTTACCATGTTGTGAGAATGAAATAAGCAAAAGGAAAAGATTGCAGTCCTTAAATTGAAAGAAAAGAAATACCATCGGAAACAGCTGGACTACTCATGGACAGCATTATTGATAGGATGAGGTTGAGGTTTTAGTGACCATCATCACATTCCTACATGCCCATGGATTTATTAATGTTCAGAACAATGATAACTTACGCAGGTTTTTGTCACGCTCACGACTTCTCCCTAGCTAAACGACATTTGTTTACGCGGAATGAATTTTGAAAATTTAATGTGATCTTCTTGGACATAATGGACAAGTTTTTCTTAAACAAGAAAACAAAATGTGTAAATGGTGAATTTGTTATAATGGGGAATTTGGGAATTTATTGCCTTATATATGAGTTACCAGCTGTTACCTTGGTAACTTATTATAACGAGTACAATAATATAATAAGCTAAACTTTGTCCATTACGATCACATATTCACTACAACAAAATTGCTCTATAGTGACATACATCTTATAGTGACACAATAAATATCACTAAAAATTACTTTTATATACACAATAAATATAACATATGTTGATATATTATTAAAAAGTGTGGATATAAGCTATAGTGACACACAAAATATGTTATTAAATTTTATTCAAAATCAACACTAAAATTGTGTGTAGCTATATGTCAAATAGATAAATACCGACATATATTATACTTATAGTAACACTTTTTATATATCACTATATATAACATTTATTGTAATGATTATTAGCGAATTGGTCTTGACCCATTTCTTAGCCCTTTTTCAAAATGGGTTACTTTGTGTGTGTGTTTGTATTTTCATCGCAATTCACGTCTTACTAATTTTTAATGATGTTTTGAAAATTGGATTGTACACAAAATTAACATAAGTACTGTTAAAGGTTATTTAATGATCGTATTATAATTAAATCGATAATAACTAAATAATAAATTTCAAATTTAATATAATTTATTCAATAATAATAAATAAAACAATATTTATCTCATTACATAAAATATAATATAATATATAAGAATAATTTCTTTTTTGATAATTATGGTATTAATATGAAGTATTCATCATTGAAAATAATGACTAATCTTTGTTAGATATCATAAGTACATATCATATAAGTATTTCACTTCCAATGTTGTCTATTCTATACTCAATACTATATTGTCTTGAAAATTTTGATTAAAGAATACAAATCCTTATTATTTACATCAACCAATGTTTGTAATATATTACACTAATAACACAATAGATATCAAGACTAATTATGTAATACTATATTATATTACTAATATGTGATAAATATGTAAATCAATAAGTATAAATTTTAATATATCATATTATTATGATTAAAATTTAAATGGCTTAAATTATTTTTGATTTCTCGAATATTATAGTTTTACAACTTTTTCCCCTAAATTCTAATTGAGTGATTTTAGTCACTCAAATATATCAATCATACAAATGTAAATCTCGTAAGTTGTCGAGATAACATTGTAGATGACATGACAAACAATGTGGTTGATATATAAGTGTTGATGTGTTGGTATTATAATGTGGGGATGTGACATATAAAATTAAAAAATTATTAAATTATTTAAAAATGAGATTAAAACTCACAACCTTTACCTTTAATAATAAAACTTGATAAGAGTACGTATAAGTAGGTCGGTTTAACTCAAATATGACTTATTTTAGGACCTAACTCAATTAAATATAATTGGATTGGGTTGGTTTTATGTTTTTCTTTTTCAAATGGCTCAATGCAACCCAAATCTACTTTAGTTTAGTTAGATAATTAAGTAATTAATTAAAATAATATATATATATATATATATATATATATATATTTCAAGTTCAAATTATGTCTCGATTAAAAATTAACAATTTATGTCTCGATTAAAAATTAACAATTACATATAACATATCACATTATATATACTAACTAAAAACGCACTATGTGTCTCTTATTTGAAAAAAATAAATAATAAAACAAATAAATTGGTAGTTATTTGAAAGGTGTTTCTTTCTCATTAAAAAAATTAGAAAAAAAATAGTGACGTGTGATAGTTATTTGAAAGATGTGGGTGGATTATAACGTGAAATTTACAGGAAAAAAAATAGTAATGTATAAAAGAGTAGTTTTAAGAGTAAAATTAAAACTAAAATGTGTATAAAAGGAAAAATCTATCACTTTTATTATATAGTTATAGATATCATACAACATAACACTAATAAGAATAATAAGATGAATATGTATTAATTATTAATTTAAGTTTTAACTAATATATTATATATATATATATATATATA